TGATGACGTCATAAATGACGTCACGCAAGGTCAACATTGCAAAAGTGACGCATCTAACCTTGCAAGGAGTGCATCAAATCACGATTCTGTGTGCTTGAGATAGTTGGAGATCGTTCCCGGCGCCAGAATAGCAGTTTGAATTTTTCCCCATTGACTTATAATGGTGAGGTCACGAAAATGACCTGACCTCATATGACCTTTAGGAAAAATCCGAGATACACAAGTTGTGGGACTCATAATGGATACTAGATCCTGCAAGTTTCATTTCCCTGTGACATCTCCTCTGGCAGTGAGGGCGTTGCGAAGTTGCGACATCTGAAGACCGTGCAGAGGTTCACTTATGACGTCATAGGTCAGTGACCTGACCTGACCCAAAAATGCGGTTGGTGTCAAAAGATCCGGCTTGGATCAAAGGTCAGGTATGCCAAGTTTCAGCTCTCTATCTCCAGCGTGTTCGGAGCTATCGCGAAAAAACCCTATGGGGGGCGGCACCCGCCCCCCCCCTCGGCCGGCGAGGGTTAACCTCCAACTGACTTGTGCACGGCACCCTACTAACCGGTCTCTAGCGATGTGCCAAATTTGAGCACAATCGGCCCAGCCGTTCTCGAGATCTGCAAGCGGCACCCTGCACGTGCGCACGTGCAAAATAGGTCCCAACTGACTTGTGCACGGCACTCTACTAACTGGTCCCTAACCGTGTACCAAATTTGAGCACAACCGGTTCAGCCGTTCTCGAGATCTGGAATCGACCCCTGTACGTGCGTGCGCACGTGCAGCAGCACCCCAACTCTGGCACATGGATATGCATTGCCTAGTGGATGCCTACATACATCCCAACTTTCAGCGTAATCGACCCAGTAGTTACCGAGATATTGCAACCATTACAAAACTGACACCTCTTCGTTTTGCACGTGGCACGTGCATAAGGGGTCACCCACATGCATTGAGAATAGTCCAAAACTTTGCAGAAGGAATGAAGCTACCCTACAAAAATTACCGCATGTAAATCGGTCAAGTGGTTGCTGAGCTATAAGCCTTGCAGAAGCGTCCGCACGGCCGGCCGGCCGCTCATACTCAGAATTTTTTAATCTACGAAAGACTCCGCTCGCTTCGCTCGCTCCGTAACCAGACTCACTCAATATACGAAAGTCCCCGCTCGCTTCGCTCACTCCGTAACCAGACTCAATTAACTTTGGACGAGCTCTGCAGTCCACGCTTAATTTAATGCAACTTTCTAAGGTTACACTAACGTTTGTGTAAAGCGCTGCATTTTCAATGTAAATTGGCCGGCTACCCGTCTGTCCACTCAGTGTATATTCAGTCCGTGCACTTGGTCACACGCCGCATTCTGGATTTAACCAAGAATAACCATAAAACACGTTTCGCTTAAGTCCTTAGAAGTCAGGCATTCTCTGAGGCGGCTCTTTTTCGTGATGAGGTAGACCTCGATCGTCATGGGTGTCAGGCCTGGATCGTCGCCGTGGGTTACCGTGCACGCGCCACGGGCCGCGTGCCAGGTGATCTGTCGTCGCGGTCGGCGCCGAACACCCGCAATCAGCAGAAGGCACCGGGTCCTGGCACCGCTACGGTCCTGATCAGAGCGAGCCGCACCGGAGCCAGGAGGCCAGCGGGGCGGGGCGTCGAAGAGTACCTATATGCCATTGGTGGACCTTGGGATGAGTCAGGGATGGAGCCGGACATATGTTGTCATTGGTTTCTCGTTATCTAGCTAAAATATTTAGTGTTAATTAATAAGGCAACAATCATTCCTCCTGCAGGTCTTCCTTCCAGCACTTCATAATTTATGTCTTTGCTGGCAAATTTAACCCGCGCCCCACTGGGGTCTGCGTATAACACGCCCTACTGGGGGGGGGGCCCTCCTAACTCCGAAACTACTGGGCCGATCGTCAAAATTCAAACGGCGTCTGATAGCCCCGGAAAACTGTCGAGCGAAACCTAATTTCATTGACCTCGAGGTCACTGATGACGTCATAGGTCAGGTCAAAGTAAAAATTATTAGCATTTTGGCTTCTTAACGTTTTGGGCTCTGGCCGCCGTCTTACAAGTCAGATCAGGCTCATTTTTGGTTCACACACTCGTGAACAGATGCTCTAGATACTCTGAGGGTACCAAACTTGTACTTTGATTTTCAGGTCAAGGTCAGGTCATCACAGGTCACGAAAATATTATATCATCCGTTGGTCACGTGACACATGTTTTATGGTCCATTTAGGCCAAACCTTTCGAATTTGATGTCGTCTGTGTCATTTGAGGTCATTTTGAGTCAAATTTAGCTTAGGTCAGGTCACTTTCAGGTCAAAAAAGGTCAAATTTTGAAGTAAAAATTTTTCAACAAAAAAGGTGTCTATTGGATGCAGTTTGAGCTAAGGAACACGATGGTGCTATTTATATTGGCGTACGATGTCAAATTCGTGCTGAAAAATTGAAATGAAAAATTAAAAATTGTTAATTTTTTGCAATAATGCGTATAATTTGGCCATTTTTGAAGATATTTAGCTAAAACTTGCTAGAGTTAGTCATAATAATGCGTTCTATCACATATATTCCGGTTTTTCGAACAGTCAAAAAAAAAATTGAAAAAATGTAAAAATATAAATTTGGAGTTTTATTATATAAGATTTTTGAAATTTTCCAAATTTCGAAAATCTGAGATAGCAGTTTGATAGCGCAGTCTATTCTGAGTCCTCTCATGCAAAGAAATTGGATCTAGCTTAAAAACGTAGCTCTTGGGAGCGATTGCCGTGGTTCAATGTTTTGCGTCGAAATCGGCCGAACATGACGTCATTTTGACGTCATTTTCGGCCGACCTATGGTAGGTACGAAGTTCAAAATTTGACACAAGGTGTCAAATTGATGCAGCCGAAGGTACTGAAAGTTTGGCGTCAATACGTCAAGCGGTTTGGAAATTATTGCAGAAAAACGGGAGGAGAGGCTATAAATAGCCCCCTCCCAGTGGGGCGCGGGTTAAATATCACTGACGGCACTTCATCTTTTCTGCTAAAGTTAAATAACTGCATTTATGAGTTATTGTTGTTGTTGTTGTTGTTGTTGTTGTTGTTGTTGTTGTTGTTGTGTTTTTGCCTCTTTCTATAAATTGATGTTACCTTTGTAGGTGGCTAGACAAATCACCAACTACAAACCGGGTGAGACCCTACGAACCCTACCAGAAAAAGGCACTCATCTTTCAATGATTCGCACTTCGCGCAGTACCCTTGCTTTCACCCTAGCTAGGCACACAGCAAACAACACTCGCGGCACTGTGAAGTGTTCGTGACTGACGGAAACGGTAAAGCCGATTGTTTGCCACCACAAGTCGTAATTGCCCTTATTGAGTGGAGGGCACGCTCCGAACTCACCTGCAGGCACGCCGCGTGGCGTACCGCTGGGAGGCGATATCACGCTCCAGCGCACTGTGGCCTCGGTGTTTGTTTCAACCAAAGACGCTCCATTTGGTCAACGCACTTCCTGCGCGAACGTGACTCACGTCTCAACCTCCCGGGTCTTGTGGTCGCTGCTGCTTTTTAAATTGGGCGAAAGTAACTGCACCAAATTCGTGAAGTGTTTCACCAAATAAAATACCAAATATCCAAAGTGTATGTATATAAATACAAATATCCAGAAAATCGGCGCATAATAAGGATTTATTGTGGTGACTAGAGCCGTGCAACCCATATCTTCTCAATCTGTCGGACGACGGCCAGTGACGCAATGACGATGCAGAGTGCTGATTGGGTATCGACTCTGCATTGCCCGGCTGTTGGTTCCTAACGTGACTAAGGCACGTGCGCTGGCTTAATTTAGTGGTTTGTGAAGGTGAATGCAAGAAGGGCAGGAAGCTCGAAGCTGAATGAATCACTATGTATGTCCTTGGCTGAATTGAATCAAACACTATTGTTGGGAGCAAGCAAGGCATTATATACCCGACCGGAGCAAGGCCGTCCGCCGTATATAGGGTTTGAAGAGTTGTTTGGTCCGCCTATATATGGCCTTGGTTTGGTCTCGAAAACAGAGCTGGTGGATTCCGCTAATTATCCTTGGATAGTTGTTGGATGGATCCTTTCATAGGCATTGAACTTGAAGGATGTGACAGCTAAATGGAAGATGTCCTATGATCTTGCTATGATCGGTCATTTTTTTTGCGTTTTTCCGTAGGACTGTATTTCGGCTGTTAGCATAGCTAAGCCCCATTAGCTACGTTCCTTACATGCCGAGTGCCGACCATCACTTCTTAGTGATTCCCTGCTACATAAGAATTTGTTGCAGGTAGAGTTGCAAAGTTTCCCTACCGCATTACCGGCATGCCGGTAATTTTTCACTACCGCAGGTTTTTTGTGGTATCTGGCATGTCTTGCCGGTAGCATGCCGGTATTTTTGGCTTTGCACAAAAAAATATTAGCATATGATTCAAACTTTGGACACTAAGAGGAAAATGTGGCATTTCTTGTAGGGGTAAACTGGAATCAACAATGCAGGCTTTTTAGTATGCCGGTAATTTGGTGGTGTTTTTGCTTTGGGCGTGGTAGCATGCCGGTATCCCCAAAAAAATTTGTGGGGCGGGGCGGTGCCGGTAGCAGCCTTTGGGGGAAACTTTGCAACTCTAGTTGCAGGCCATGGCTTCTTTACGGATTCGTTCGTTTAGGTATGCCCGCCGGGTATCCGCCTTTTAGGTATTCCAATAATTATCGTTGGTGAGGGTTTAGTAACATTTTTACTCAACTGACATGGCGGCTTAAGAACCTTCTTCAACTTGAAGAAGTTAGCAGTCTAGTCCAGGTGCAACTAGCCACGTCTCTGATAAGTTCATTCCTGCCTCGTCGCTTTCACATCCGGCATCTACTGGTGAGACTAGGTTCTTGCAGCTCAAACAACTATCGGAGAAAAGCTCTGGCATCTGTCCTTCAATTAGAGCTCGGAACTCAACTCGTCAATACATATTTCAGTAGACATTCGTTTGGATTGTAATGAAGCACACATATGTACACTGAGTTCTAAATTTTATTGCACTTTCAATGAGTGGGATATGTTAAATCATAAAGGAAGGTTAACTTTGGAGCGTAACTGAACAAAACTAAACAGCATCGCTGCATTCAACTTATTCACGAAACATTGGAAGTACACCTAGACGACGGGGTAGGAGGCGGAGGTGGCAATGCCGCACTGGTTGCCGGAGTTCCTGGTCATCTTGATGTAGCCGTCCATGCCCCAGCTGGCGCCCCACGAGTTCTTGACGAGCCAGTAGTCCTGGCCGTTCTCAGTGCCGTAGCCGACGGCCAGCACACCGTGGTCCAGGCGGCTGCTGGAGCAGCGAGCCTCGTTGTACACACCGCCGGAGTACAGCTGGAAGGAGAAGTGGGAAGCGTCGATGGCGACAGCCACGGGGCCGACGTTGGCGACGGCGTCCTGCAGGGCGCTCTCGCTGCCGGAGCGGACGTCGACGTAGCTGCGGAGGGTGGCGACGTTGTTTCCGTTGGCCTTGCAGTATCCGTCGCGAGCGGTGTAGGGGTAGGCAGCCTCGGCCTCGATGCCACCGTTGTCACGGATGTACCTGAAAACGTCAGACATAGTGTAAGCAGAGCTTTTCAAGGAAAACACCAGTTATGAACAGCTTACATGGATCACTATAATCCATTGACATATGGCGACATATCTAGTTCACTGTTGCTGCATATTCAGAGACTTACTGGAAGGCCGAGTCCATCCAGCCGCCGTTGCAGCCGGCGTTGCCGTAGGCGGTGGAGCAGTCGACCAGCTGCTGCTCGCTGAGCGAGACCAGCGAGTTGCCGGCCAGGGCCCAGGCACCCTCCAGCGAGCCGGTGGCAGAGAACGACCAGCACGAGCCGCACTGGCCCTGGTCCTTGACGCCGGTCACCACACCAGAGCCGCGCCAGTCCACCTCAGCCGCGTTCACCTTGCCAGACACCTGAGGGAACAAGTGCCGTCAATGATATTGCTTAACAAAAGATACCAACCAAAGTGCTAGGTATCATAGGGAATAGCTGAAAATTCCAGTAATTGTTTTGGTGTAATATGTAATGCGTCAATACCTTGTGGGTCTCGTGGGGCACGGTGCTGCCGATCTTCAGTCCCTTGAAGCCGCGGGCGAACTCATCCGAGGTCAGGTCAGCGAACTTGTTGAGGGCCAGGGTGAAGGTGTGCTTTCCCTCGGCGTACTCCTTCATGTGCTGCGCAACCTTGACCTTGTTGTCGGCGTACACCTGAAGAACAAGATGATCGGATCAGCTACTACCCTGGACTATGAATATTCAATATACAATCAACTCATGCTGGAAAGTGTTTTATGAAACTGCTGCCACGAATCGGATGTTTTGTCTGTTTCCAGTCATTCATTTCATCGGTAAGCCTACCTTCATCCTGTAGAACTCCTCGATGGGGTTGGCGTAGGACTTGCCATGCTTCAGCTTGAAGGCCTCCCACTCGGGCCTCTCCACGAAGGCGGAGGCCGCTCCGGCCAGAAGCACAACCAGCAGGACCTTCATGATTCTGTAAACGCATGACATGTCAGCGTGCTAGGCTTACGTTCAAATCAAGGATGCTCATGTAAGACAATGTAAATAAATTCAAAAAGTAGCTTTACTTTGATTTTTTTTTTCAAAATTCAGGGTGTAATACAAGAAGACATGGTATAATACAGCAAGCTATAATAATGCATTATAGCTCGAGGATATAATAATGCATTACATACTAGCCGCTTTCACGACGGCCATCTGGTACACATTTGATACACATCTGGTACAGATAAGGTGCAGATTTTGTCAAATTGCGGATGCAGGTATCCAAACAGGGGCGATTCATGTTGATATGCACTGTACCATTTGATGAGCGATTTGGTGGTATTTAGATCGTCATGGAGCGAATGAATTCATTATTTATATGATGTGCTCGTCAACACTCACATGTCATATGCTTCCGAAAGTAATAAGAGCGTCCAGTACTGAATATTGGAAAGTAATTACACATCGATTGTTTGCTTCTTGGATCATGACATTCGTTATGTGAAAGTAGCAAAAGAAATGACGTTTGAAATGAACATGTTTTGTAGTTATTTCATGTTCACCAGTGAGTAAAAGGTGGATCATAGGCGGCTCCAGGAAAAATAAAGGGAGGTCGATTTCACACGTAAATGTTATATAACATGACCTCTACCAATCCGTTTTTGTGATAGCACTAACAAAAAAAAGATATATTTTATATTTTGTGTACCCCGAATTCATTTAACTGTATCCGCCTATGATTTTTTTAATACTTTATAATGTTTATAATGTATGTTGATTTCTGATTCATTCTGTTCCGATGGGCTTCAAAATACTTAAAATAGGTTAAAAAACATGGCCATGGTAAGCAGTCAAAAAAGTGTCTGCAATATGCAGTTTTTACCCCGTAAATTCAAAACAGTAAATTATCCGAAATCCCCTGGGGCAGATGGGGATTTCGGATAATTTACTTTTTTCGGATAATTTACCCCAGTACCTATAGGTACTGGGGCAGATGGGGATTTCGGATAATCTACTTTTTTGATTTTTTTCTTTTTAATGTAGATCACCTCGAGTGAAATCGAATGCTGTTTGAATTTTTAGATTCAGCCGTAGATTTTGAGATATCAATGGTGCGTCGTTAACATCATCCCCCTCCCACTAATAGAGTTAACGAGGCTATCCTGAAATGGTAGCTAGATGCAAACTGGTGTACCTAACATTTTTGGCCGTGGTCAATTTGTTTGCACCAGTAGTTTAATAGTCCAAGCTTACAGTAACTAATAGCCGTTTTCACGACGGCCATCTGGTACACATTTGGTGCACATCTGGTACAGATTAGGTGCAGCTTTGGTCAAATCAGGTTCAGTGTGTCTCTTAGCAGCTATCAACTAGGGTTGCACTAATTGCTTATATGCCTGCTTTGTCATATCAGAGAGCATCATCGATTAAAACACTGAAATAAATTCATAAAATGAAGATAGCAGATTTGGTCATCAGGTGCACTCGCCGGATAGCCCATCGTGAAAACGGCTAAAGTACAAACAACACATAAGCTCTCACCTGAACACTGAACAGTCAGATGCTGCAATGAAGTTCACTCCACTATATATACCATTTTTCATGGCTGTGACGCAGCAAAATCGCGGCGCTATCGTTGGCGTTCTTTTCCATTCTCACGCCAACGTCCTTGCCTGCACATTGGTATTGAGACAATGTCGCGGAGATAAGTAACAAAGCTGACCCAGATGTTGAATATACTTATATCATATTATGTAGTGCTTGTGACAAAGATATATAAAAATATATAACTATAAGATAAATAGTTTTCCGTTAAAATGATAGTGATGAATTATAAAGAGGCATCTTTCAAGGTAAAAGCGCCATTTTAATGCAACCGACATATTCCTATGAAAGATAGGTTCTATAAAAATATATATTTATTAGGTACTATTTAAGGGGGGTGGTTGCCACCCCCCCCCGCGCCATTTCGTTCCTCTTGGAGATAAAGCTTCGCGGCAAAAACCAACAGATTCGTTGGGAAGAGACGAATCCAATGGTACCCAATTTCACCTCATTAGGTCGATCATTGAGCTTCCAGGTCAGGTCAAACTAGAAAATATTGCTGTTTGGGGCCACCGTTGGAATATCACGTGCGGTGCCCATCATATACTGATTGCGCTGCCCTTTGTGGTGCCAGGCCAGTAGAACAGCTCTTTATCACACTATCCGACTAGGTTTTTACCGGCTGTGGTCATTTCTGGTCAAGCTAGGTCATGGTCAACGATATTTGTTTGTATGTCTGTGTGTGTCTGTGTGTATACTGATGTGTGCACCGATTGGTTTGTGTGTCCCATTTACATGAGATCATGATCTGAGAAGTTTTTACCGAAAACTCAGTCGAGAAACTTCATGAAAAGTAAATTCAGCAAGCCTAAATTGCAATGTTATTAGATGAGCTACGTTGACCTTAACCCTGACCCTGACATCTGCACACCGTCCAATAACATGTTCCATGATAGGTGGGAGGTAAGACTAGCAAACATACCGACGCAAGATGTTTAGTATTTGTCATTTTGGTCATGACATGACCTGAAAAACAAGGTCATATTTCTGAAACTAAAAACCACAGAAACTTGACATTTTTAGTGGGCATTGAGAATGGATAGAGCAGCAGCTCTACGAAAAATCAGGTTTCTAGGTTTAAATGTTGAGTGCAGAACAGAAAACCTACCTGGGAGTGGCAACCCCCCATGTGCGGGCGAGGGCTAACCTACGGAAGAATTATACAGGCTCATTGGCTACATCTGAGCTTTAGTATTTCAATGTTTTATTATTTAGATATGGAACTGGCACAGAAATTTCATATTGGAATAATTCTTCTTCAAGAAAATGCCATTGCTCTGAAACATCAGATGTTAAACCCTCAAAAGCAACCAAATTAACCAAACGACCCAAATCGTCTAGGAAATTCGGAAGCTGATAACTGGATGCCTGATCATTAGCAACCAAAACAACGGCATGAAGTAGATATTATATTGTGAAAACCCCTTAGCTTAACGCTTTTAAATAACTCGTTGTTCATACTCGTACTCAACGTCCGAGTCATCTAGGGAACAAATTGTGTGTTACAATGTCCACAAATGCATTTACCTAAACAAGCTACCAAAGGAAGTTAAAAATTTAATCGACATTTTTGTGTGTCCAAATTTGAAGAATAACTTACATAACTAGCCTTCAAAGTTCAAACGCGGCTTATCAAAATGGCAGTCAATATTTGCCGACCCCGTGGGACCAAGAACATCAGTGACAAACACAGCAGGGTCACGGCTGATAGCCTCTCCATATAAATAGGAGCGACCCAGAGGCGATGCTACACGACTGCGGAAATACGTACAGGTGAGCACTGAGCCGCGCTGCGTCACAGGCGTCGATCGACTTTTGGTTTGATTTACATTACGCATTAGGAATGGAGGCGCCTCTAGTAGGCCCGCAGATACTGGTTTGTTCATTAACGCACTTCACAAAAACAATTTGCCGGGCTCACAAGATCAAGAGAAGGATTCCAAGAAGGATCTTGGAATTCCAAGAAGGATTCCAAGAAGCTTTTGCTGACTGGCTAGGAAAAATTGTAGGCTGTATAGTGTATCGTAGCACATTTTAGAAATTAGAAATCATGCTGCTTTGCTGTTTACCATGACACTAGACGATAAAGGCACTCATTTAAAGGGACTATCCCACCTTTAACATGGGATTTGAGTTGAGATAGCCAAGTTTGCGGCGAGGTTCAGAAACCACTATCTATCTAGGTTACAACCCCCGCGGCCTCTTGGTGTTGAAGAAATTCGTTCCCTTCATTTGAAAATGGGCCTTGTACAAGGCCCTATCTTCAACATGGAGCGACCGTTAGTGTGACGTCACCTCGTTTAGTCATTCTGATTTAAATGGGTTTGTTCGTTGAAAAATCGCTTAAAACTTGGTCTGAACTTTGTTGTGGTGCCTACAGAGTAAAAAGAATCAGCTTTATGACAGTAATGTGGCCTGGGGAAGGAGGTAATTTTGGGCTGTGACGTCACATATTTGAAAGTTTGTGTTTGAAATATGGGAAGCCTAAGATGTTTAATGAAAAATAAATGCTAGAACCGTGTTCCTGGTCATCCAATCTATAAAGTCGGGCACAATTTAACTGGTTTTAACAACATTTTGGAAGGTGGGATAGTCCCTTTAACAGCAGGTACTTACAGCTTTGCCTCGTTAGATAATCCGAATGTCAGGGGCACTTACTATTCCATTTGCTCGTCTACCCGAACAGTCATGAAGGTCCTGCTGGTTGTGCTTCTGGCCGGAGCGGCCTCCGCCTTCGTGGAGAGGCCCGAGTGGGAGGCCTTCAAGCTGAAGCATGGCAAGTCCTACGCTAACCCCATCGAGGAGTTCTACAGGATGAAGGTATAGGCTTACATGAAATGAATGACTGGAAGCAGACAAAACATCCGATTCGTGGCAGTAGTTGTCATAAAACACTTTCCAGCGTGAGGTGATTGTATATTGAATATTCATAGTCCAGGGTAGTAGCTGATCCGATCGTCTTGTTCGTCAGGTGTACGCCGACAACAAGGTCAAGGTTGCGCAGCACATGAAGGAGTACGCCGAGGGAAAGCACACCTTCACCCTGGCCCTCAACAAGTTCGCTGACCTGACCTCGGAAGAGTTTGCCCGCGGCTTCAAGGGACTGAAGATCGGCAGCACCGTGCCCCACGAGACCCACAAGGTAAGTATTACATATTACATATTACAGCAAAACAATTACTGGAATTTTCAGCTATTCCCTATGATACCTAGCACTTTGGTTGGCGTCTTTTGGTAAGCAATATCATTGACGGCACTTGTTCCCTCAGGTGTCTGGCAAGGTGAACGCGGCTGAGGTGGACTGGCGCGGCTCTGGTGTGGTGACCGGCGTCAAGGACCAGGGCCAGTGCGGCTCGTGCTGGTCGTTCTCTGCCACCGGCTCGCTGGAGGGTGCCTGGGCCCTGGCCGGCA